TGTAGTCTGCTTGTGAATTGTATGTGCAGCATATTCTTGTTGCAGGTGTAACAGTAACTGAGAGTGTAAGCAGGAAGCCTCAGTGGAGAAACTGCAATGTTGTGCTGCAGTCACTGAGCATTTCTCCCTAATTAAAACACATTTGGCAGTAACGGGGGAAAATGTTTGGCAGTTGATGTCCCTCTGATTTTAAAAAGAAGAAAAAAAGCTTGATTTATGTGGATATAAAAATTCTACACAGTCTGACAAATGCAGTATAATGATTCTGTGCATGCTGGTTGATAAGCAATAAATTTAGATGTATAGCTCTATCCCATTGTTGGTTTATATTATTAGTCTGTTTAATGTTTTTTTAATTAAACAGTCATTTGTCATCACACCACAGCTTCTTCTAAGACATTTGCGCATATAGATACTCTACCAGCCATATGGACCCCATAATCATATCGCTGCACTTTACGTTGTTTAAGCAAAAGTGTTTAATGCCTGTCACAGGCTATATATTTTCAGGTCTAACACTGTTGCAGTATTCCCTCATTCCTTTTTAGATTTCACTTGCCTGCTGCTGGAACAGAGCATAGATGTGTTAAAGTGCCAAATGTCCATCAATGTGATTCACTTGATTAGTTAATAGCTCGAGGTAGGTTTATCCTATACTTAGATAGCTGCATGTAGCCACTCCAGCTGGCATCCTCAAAAACGACAACAAAAAAAGGCATGTAAATTTATACCAGCAATAAAAGCCTGCTGGGCAGCTTTCTTGGCGTAGATCTCTCAGGACACATCCTCAGTATATGCCCAGAAAATGAGATGATGGGTAGTTTGACATGACTTTAGATTGTTCCACATGCAGCACAGTGCTCAACATCACCAGTATGTAGCTGTGTTCCAGTAACACAGTTTCTACCTCCAACTGATGGTGTTTTTCCTTCCTCTTGGCTCACGGCAGTATTGTTAGTTATAGCAGTAGCTACTGTGGAAAATTCTTCCATTCGGCATGCATTAGCACTGCAGAACTCTAAAACGATTACGCTTCCGGGCGGAGCAAAAGTCATGCAGCGGTGCAGCTTGTTTGAGTATTTTTTAGTTTAGTGAAAAATTTGGCTTAATTGAGCTATTATGGATATTATGTATTTATGGATAATTCTAGATATTCAGTGTTATTATAGCGATTGCTTACGGATATTAACCTAACTTCAGCAGGAAGATATTTTGGTCTTCTATGCTAGTCCCAAGCAGCATCATTGCTTTCTTTCTGTTTTTCTCCACTTTGGAAAATGCTGCAGTTTTTGCTCTGGCAGAGGAGGGAGTCCCAATTCACTAGAGCTCTGAGGAAGGTGGAGAGGCTTCGTTCTACTCCAGCTAGTGTGCACTGAACCTCTGTTTATAAAGCCCAGAGGGCTGAGCTTTTTCCCATTTATCACTTCTCTTTGATTCAATCATTGATTGGCTGTAATGATGACAGCTCTGCTCATAGTGATGCTTAATGCTGTGGACCTTGACTCATCTCTGTACCACGCCCGGCACTAGTTTTAAAGATCCAGGAATACTTTGCATTTATTTATGTGCCCCATTAGGATCATAAATTTGGTCCCATTTTAAGCAAGTCGCTCACCTTGTATTTTAGTAAATTTGCATGTCCTCAGTGTCCCAGTGACAGTGTTTTAGTCACACAGTAACTACTCGTGGCATTAAGATACATCCAGCACAGTGTTGCTTTAGCTGAAAAGGATTGGAATTTCTCTCTTTATTATATGGCATGACATACATGGCAGTGTATTCACAGATGTCATTTTGTCAGTACAGTATTCACGTTATAAACCAGCAAAGATCAGGTACATATAACATCCACCAACATGTGCTTTTACATCTTTGTAAAAATAGGACAAATGTGTGGGATAAGAAAATGACTTTCCTCACACATTCACACACACCATTTCACCGGTGTCATTGCACTAACATCGCCGTGCGGTATGCGAGGGCCCTTGGAAGCCCTCATTAGCCCCCAGGCAGCTCTGCCACACAGAGAGGAGAATTTAATAATGGAGGGTGTCATTAATCATGGCTTTCTGAGTGATTTACATGGACCAGTACGGACCATATATAAGGTCATACGTAACGGCATAAATTCAAGACAATTTACTTGTGTAAATGAGTATGAAACTAAACCCACGGAAAACATTAAGACGTTTAATTCAAGGGGGCAATTTATGTTTCTTTTGGACGGTTTAATGTGCAGGATGTGGCGCTAATACAAGCGTTCCCACGCTACTTGTCTGAAAACATCTGTGCCTCAGATTCCTCTTCGTTGACGTTGCAGCTGACTGCTAATGCTCCTGTGCTGTAAAGGGCCTCGAGAGCACTTATTGTCATGAAGGTAGAGAAACAAAGAGAATTAAGTATTCTCATTGGCTCAATGAAAGAAAACCGGATACATGCAGAGCAGGTCATCTTTGGCCTGCAGCCAAATTCTCCATTAGAGCCTCATGTGAAACGCTATTGGCCGTGTGTGTGTGTGGTTTGGGGTTTTCTGTTTTGTTGTTATTTCAGAGAGAGCCACAAGCAAGCTTTACCTATGGTTGTCTCAGTCTCTACTAAAAGCAAAAACACGAGGAAGGCAAATTCTTGTAAGCACGACAAGCTTGATTGCACATACTTAATGCAACCTTTATTTTTGGTACAGACTTACTTTCAGATGGTAGGCTCAAGCTTTGATTGGCATAGTTTTCCCCCAAAACAAACAACAAAAACAATACAAAAAACACTTGAGAATTAAATAAGAGAAGTTGAGATTTTTCAATTTTAACATTAGAGCGTGCAGGTGGGTTAGAAAATTGATGCCTGTAAGGGGAGTCGAAACTGGAGCCGTTATAGTGTGTTACAGTGTGAAGAAATAACACCCAGTGGACTTTTCAACCCTGTGTGTTTGTGTGTGCTCTTTACCGCACGGTGGTATGTTTGCGCACTGTGTGTGGCCTTAAAATGTCATATTTCACCCATAATAAAGGTTTCTAAGGTGCTCAGTTTCCAAAGCTCTGACAAAACATCATCGGCTCAGGAGATGTAACGCAGGTCCTTTTTAAATCACACATCACTTGTAAGTTGGACTCCTATTATTTTGTCATTAGAGAGACCTCCACGAGAGTCTGGCCCGCTCCTTGAGCTGTGGTTGGTGGTATTTTTAGTACAACTCTTACCGCAGGAGGATGAGATAATCGGTGGGTATTATGACCTTGGTTCTGCAAAAAAGAAGCGTGCAAGGGCGAGATGAGGTGCGTCTGTTTTGTCTGGAAAAGATAAACAACTGTGTGCAGACGAAGTCGAGTTGGACAGTTACACAAAAGTCGACTGCTATCGGACAGATTCTATTATATACGTTGAAGATAAAAGTCTGAGCAGTTGACCGATAAGGACAAGGGTGAATGGGCTCACAGTTGGAGTAAACAGATAACAGAACAGGAACTATTTCAGGGTGAGGAATTCCAATAAATGTCATTTTGTGTGGCGTTCACAGTCTTTCAATGCGTGCTGCTGATTTGGTAAGTGAATAGTGTTTTCTTTGGAAGCTGTTGAATGTAACCTTCGCTTACTTCTCAGATTTGTCCTTGAACGCCGCCCTCGTATTCCAATAAGTATGCACTCACTTACAAATGGAGCTTAAGCCAAATACTAAATGACCGTTTACCCCTGACATGTGTTATTCGGCAATTTGTGGGCTTTTGGCCACTTTAAATGCTCAGACTATCCTAGTCTGTCTTGAGCATCATTTGAATGATAAGGCCATCTTGAACCAATTACATGGGCTGTTAGCTGCATCTGAACCCTTAGTAAAGTCTGCTCATAGTCCTTTTGAAGAGCACACCTCAGAGTTAACGCATCATTTGGCCAATAGGCATTAGTTACCAGGAAACATTTACATGTGAACTCATCTGTGTCACAGAATAGATGCATGCTGTGTAATATTTAAATAGGCATAAGTGATTAGGAAAATTCATCTGTTTTTTACACATATGCGTTGGTTCCCCGGGTGGGTGCAGGTTTCCTCCAGTATGACTATAGTGTATATTTAATGCTTGTTTTCTCATTGAATTTTCATTTCAGCCGGAATAGTTAATAATCGCTATAAAATCTTGAGTCAGGGATGTGTTAACTATGCCCTGATTAATTAATTTCATTAATTTTATGTCAAGCATAAACACCACAGACATAATGAATGCCTGCTTGGCTTGATTTTAATCACTTAATAGCAGAGTGAATGCAGATGAATGAGATGTGCTTCACTGATTCTTGTAAACAGTCTCCCTCCTTCAGTCTGCAGTTGCTGAGTTTCTTAAAAGTTTTTTTTTTTTTTTTGCTTCATTATTATATTAGAGATTTCAGAAATGTGATATATATCGGTGACTGTACGTTAAACATTATAATTGCTTCTAGCTAGAGGTAATGGAGTATGTGATTTTATTACAGGGTGTTTAATGTGGTGTAGTGTATCTATTTTTAGCACGCTGCTGGATTACTGAGATTTGATGGAGTCACAGACTGCTGAGTTTGCACCAGTAGCACTCCACCTCAGAAGGACTCATTGCGGCATACAGCGCCCATCTGCAAGGACGCCAGTGCAGTGCTGCCTCCAGTGGAGGAAGAGGAATATTGATTGTGCTCCATGAATGAATGAGGGAATGGCATTTGGAGTGATGCCCAGGACAAGAGATGCTTAGTCTGTGTTTCTGCTTAGCTGTGCCCAAGTTACTCTCATGATTGATAGTCAGATGGTGGCGGTCCATAATGAGCAAGTGGCCTAGTTTTCCCAGAAAGCCAGCCAGTTCTCCTGATGACCTAATGGTGTAGGGAAACAGTTTGGATTTCATGCAGTGGAACCGCTAAATAGAAAAACAACTTTTGATTGATTATTAAATGAAAGTCTTCTGTCATGTGATGGGTTTTAGTATGTGGCGTTTTCTCTCTCACTACATGTATTAACTTAACGTTTGTTTCTCACACAGGGCTTTCTACCTCGATCAGTCCAACATGCCGCCTAGCTCTGCACCAAAAGCAGCCCTCATAGATAAGGTAAGAACGACCTTACACAGCCTCATAGTACAGTTGTGACACTATGGGGGGAAGCCGAAGAGCAGGAGTAGATGCTGCAATATGGACCTGTTTGCATGTGTTGCAACAGACAAGGGGGGCAACAGCAGGAAATCACACTTTAAAGTCAAGTCCAGTCACTTACCTTGAAACTAGAAAAGTGCATTTTCTCTTAATAAATTTATGGTCTTCAAAAGGTAAGAAGAGCAAAACTGTGTTCAATTTAATTAAGATGTAATTAGGAGAAAGAAATTACTAAGTATAAAGGAAGAGTCTCCTTAAGAAAAACCAAGTTACATCCAGCTGTTCAGCCATTTAAAACCATGAGTCTCTTCTCAAGCTCTGCATGGCTAGGTGCTTGACTTTTACATACCTGTGATAATGGGCTAACAGGTGTGGCCAATAGTTTTGTCCATACAGTGTAAATTGGTGCTTTTGCCTCATTCACACAACAACTTTTTTGTACGCCTAAGTGCTTTCTATCTAACATTCAAAGTCTGATAAACTTGTGGGAGAGCAACTCAGGGTTCAGTATCTTGCTGAGGGATACTTTGGCATGGGATCAAACCACCAATCTTCCCCTCTGAAGATTAAACGCCCTACCTCCTGAGCTAGAGCCACCCCTTGTCTTGAAGCTCCTTCCCTCAGATTTCTGAAGCTCAGACTGTTTCACAGCCTGGGGGCACAGTGGCTAAAGGCTGATTTCTTCATGTGTTGTTGCTGAGTTCTGTGGGACCAGTAGGAAGCCAGTATCCAAGGATCTGAGACATCTGCTAGGTACAGATGTCTGAGAGAGGCTGGCGCCACACTATGAAAAACAAATGAAGCAGCCTTAACAAGTCAGTCAATGCAGTGGCTTTTAAAGGAAACTTTGATCTTCATTTATGGCTGCATATTTTATTCTTTGAATCAAGCAAAGCTGCTCTAGTAGACTCCTCCCTTTAACCCAAATGTCTACTTGTTAGCTTTCCTTATAATCAGAAGGTCAGTGGGCTGTGTGCCTGACTATATTATGGATATCCCATCAGCCAACAACTAGATCAAGTTGTAAAAAGCTGGTTGGAAGCTTCACCCTTGAATGCCCAGCATTGTAACAATGTATATATGACAGCCTAAGACAGAAATGGTCTAACGCCAATGTTAACCTTATAATCTACTCAGTTTCTTTTCTTTTCTTTGTGATTTAATCCCACACTAACCTCTCTGCGTTGTTTCTGTCCAGTTAATGCGTCCCCTCAACGCTCTGGAGGAGCTCTACCGTCTGATGGAAAGTTTTATTAGTTGTCGCCGCACCGCTGCCTGTCAGTACACCGCCTGCGGGGCTTCTGGCGTGGGGCTGCTCTCTGTGGCCTCTGAGCTCTGCTCGCGTCTGGGAGCCACACACATTGTCATGTGCAACAGCGGCGTTCATCGGTAAGTGCGTGGGCACATGTATTGTGCGCATCTTCCACCTCACTATGGGCCGCCTCCAGTTAAATTATACGTTTTGCGCTCATCATGTTCTTTCTTTTGGCAGCGCACTTGCAATTTTCCTTTCTCTTTCATCTGTTTTGCGTTGACACTCTTCTCACCTTTCCCATTTCCACCGCAGTTTCTCCCTGCTCCCGTGCATCTCAGTTTATTCTCTAGCTACATCTCAATTTCATGAGCCCCACACTGTTTGCCCTTGGGGTTTTCTATTAATACACTTTTCTCTGCATTAATTAACAGCAGGATATTTTAGTTAATGACATGCTTCTCAGACCAGAGGAAGGCATACATAGGAGATGGACCAATTACTTCCATTCTCACTGATCTCTATATACAGCTTCCTAATTCACCTGCTGCTGAGGGCAGCATTCATCAGTGCATGAGGACAAAAATATCCAGATCGTTTGTCACCGCTGATCCCGAGTACAAGCCTTCATCTTCATCTTGTACTCTGCTCTTCCCCTACACCCACCCACCCACCCACCCGTCTCTCTGATACCCTCTTCCTTTACCGTGTGACAGTTTCCATATCTTTTTGTCTCGGTTATATGCGCAGGCTCGCACACGCTCGTTCATGCATTCACCGTATGTGACTGATGGCTTGATAAAGGGCTGCGGATGGAGCGGTCTGGTTGACAGAGCTCTAATAGAAAGTTGTCTGTGCAATGAGTTCTGTTTATGAACCTACAGCCTATATTTGTGTGTTTGCAATTACATTTACTGGCTACAACTCAGTCAGATACGCAGGCTAAGTGTAGTGACACATCAGGTGACGGCACCTGCCATATCAGAGGTTTATTTGTCAACAGGCTTTCTCTTTAAACACTCTTTTACCCTTCAAAGTTGGAGAATGTTGTGCGTATTGGACTTTGTATGACGGGAGATTGAATCGCAAATCCTTGGCCCGGTGCAAGTTTTTATATATCTATATCTAGATATCTAGATAGATAGATAGATAGATAGATAGATAGATAGATAGATAGATAGATAGATAGATAGATATCTCTCTATCTCTCTCTATCTCTCTATCTCTCTATCTCTATCTCTCATAACTGCAGGGTGCAAGATGCTAGCAGGCAAGGCATACATGGAACGCCATAAGCAAGTGGCTGGCATAGTATACAGGTATATCTGTGCCGAGTATAAGCTGGAAGTCCCGGGGTCAAAATGGGAGATGCCCCCAAAGGTGATGGGGAATGACCGAGCTAAGATCCTGTGGGACTTCCAGATACAGACGGACAAAATGGTGGTGGCTAACCAACCGGACATAGTGGTGGTAGACAAACAGAAGAAGACGGCGGTAGTGATCGATGTAGCGGTTCCGAATGACAGAAATATCAGAAAGAAGGAACACGAGAAGCTCGAGAAGTACCAAGGGCTCAGAGAAGAGCTCGAGAGGATGTGGAGGGTGAAGGTAACGGTGGTCCCCGTGGTAATCGGAGCATTAGGTGCAGCGACTCTCAAGCTAGGCGAGTGGCTCCAGCAGATCCCCGAGAAGAGCGCAGTCCTAGGAACAGCTAAGATACTGCGCAGGACCCTCAAGCTCCCAGGCCTCTGGTAGAGGACCTGAGCTTGAAGGATTGACCGCCCACAGGGGCGAGTGGGGAAATTTTTTATATATAAATAAATAAATAAATAAAACCCCTTTCTACTATTAACAGTGCACAGATTGTAGGAAAATGAAGCAATTTTTGCTGCTTTCTCTGTAGACTACGAATTGTTAAAATGTAAATGGTGAGCACGCCGGCTAAATCTGGAACAACTGAAAAGCCAGTGAAAGCAAGCCAGTAGATTAGCTACATGGAAATTGCATTATCAGTGTGACAGTCTTCTCAGGCACTATTGATTGGATTAGTTGGCTTGATGGATGAGTTTTAATAACAGTGAAAGCGTGATATTTTGGGTGATATCAGCAAACCCTAGCGTTTCTGTTTTCCTTTTTTTCCCAGTTATTCTGAGGATTCACTGACTGAGAGCAAAAAAAAAAAAGTTACTACTAATTCTATATTTGGCCTGTTTATGCTTTCCCCCCCTTTTTTTAAGTTCTCCTCTTAATTCTATCTTTCATTCCTTTGTGTCTTTCTTTCTCTTGTTCATTTATCAGTATGGGCTCACTCTGCAGAAACACAAAGTGTAAATGGGATATGTGATGGAACAACATAAAACAAATGGGTATAAATCATCTCATACTATCTCACCAGCAATAATCAAAAGGGAAAATGTGCAGGCTAACGCGCACACACACAGAACTGCACTTCCTTCATCGTGCTCCAGCAGAAGAGGTATTTAAAGATCCTCCTTTTTAGCTTTTTTTTTTCTCCCCACTTCTTTATCGGTGTGGGAAGCTCAAAGCGGGTGCTTAAAATATTCTGGGGTGGCCTGTGAAAGGACATCCTCTGCAATTCTCTCCTGGGATATCTTTCGGCACATACTGGAAATGATTGTTGGGTTCATTACTTTTATCGTATCGTGTTTCCCTGTAATAAAGTTATGCAACTGAAACTCAAGGGGACTTTTAAATCTTGATTTGATTGACTCAAAGTAATGGCTTCTGGCAGTGATAAGTCCCCCGTCTCACATCTGCTCTTTTTTTTTTTTTTTCTTCTTTTCTCTTCCGTTCTCCTCGGTCAATGTGAAACACTACCATGAGAGAAGGAGATATTAAACAAACAGCTCAGATTTCTTAGCAGCGTCATGGCAGTGTTGGAACTTTGGACAGTTCAATTTGCAGTGAAAAGGCTCTGGATCGATCTACCAGTACAGCTTGTTATCATAGAAAGGTCATCCAGCAGCCTTGATGCCCGTCACTGGCTCTCTAAGGATCTATCCCCACACTGCCATCTGTGTGTGCGTGTGTCTGTGTAAAGGCAGAAGAGGAAGAGGCTGGCTGTGTATGTGCCTGGGAACAAAGTTTGCTGCAACTAATGAATCACAGACTTGTGTCAGCACTCATTTTACACATATAGCATCCTTATGGTGGTGAGAGTATAGCGCCTCTGCCAAAGGAGAAGCACTGACTTGTCCTTGGACTTCTTTCTCTGGGCTGAGGACAAGAAAACCTGGAAGTCTCCTCAAGTCCCAGAGGTCTGCCACAAATTTCCCTCTCTTGTGCTTGTTCTAAGGCAAAGATCAGCGAACTTGTTATCCTCTTGATGCACCGCGTTTGCTCGCGGTGATTGACTTTTCAGAAGCAAGTGCAGTGATTCATTAGAGCGAAGACGAGCGAAGGTGAGGTGGGAAGAATGCGATGTAATGGCAAGGTGTCAAGAGGAGCAAAACGCTCTCATGGTGATGTGATTTATCTGAGCTGGATTTTATTCTCAGTTGATGTTTGTTTCAGTGTCAGATCTCACTTTCAGTCTCCGTCTGCTGCAAAGGCTGCTCGACTGCAGTCTTGTGTCAAACACGGACTGCATTTTAATATTGCAGTCATGGAATTGGGAAAAGACATTAAAAACCTTTTGTTTTAGGCGTCACAAAGTCCTAGTCCCAGATTTCCTCAGTGGATACTGTATTTTGATTGATGGTAAAGAAGATGATTAAGCATCATTGCACTGTTTGATGAGAATAAGCCTGACCGCATGTTTTCTCTCTAACAGCTGCACCCTGAGTGTGACACTGGAGCAGGCCATCCTGCTGGCTCGAAACCACGGCCTTCCACCTCGCTGCATCATGCAGGCCACCGATGTCATGAGGAAGCAGGTATGTGTTTCGCAGATGTCTGCTATAATGAGCCGCTGTCCACTTTGTAGTTTTCCCAGTGCCATACATTTACACACATGTCTCTGACATTTCAGAGGGAGTGTTTTTGAAGGTAAAATAATCATGCTTTGAATGGCTGTTAAAAAGCGCTTACCTGGCTGCCTTTGACTTAAACCCTGATTATATGATGCAAGGTGATTAATCACCACAGTGATCAGCTTCTCTTCTGTTTTGATAGGGAATGACAAGCTGCTCTGGCAGCCACCTCATTCTCTCGGGATATTTTTGTGGCGTCTTTTCCTCATCGCTTCTCCAGAAGCTGTGCAAACAAAGCAAAACTACAGACCTTCAGTTCAGTTTGTGAACACATTACGTAACCCCGTTCAAAGTAAAGCAGGAAAGCTAAAAAGTTAAAGACAGTGCGGCGAGTGGAGAGTAGAGAAAGGGTTGTTTTTAAAAGAGAAGAACGGTCAATAGATTAAAAAGGGAGAAGAATTTCCACAGAATTGGACTGCAAAAACTGGATCAATTCCAAATCTTTTTTCTGCTTAATTTTTTTCAGCAAGTAATGAGGGAACAGGACTCGCATTTCCTTTAGACATCTTGTCAATTTTGGGCCTCTGAAAATGTAAGACTGTTTTTAAAAATGGTTGTACTAAAACAGTAAATGCAATGCTTCTGTTAAACCTCTTGAATTAAAGCTGGAAGTCCGCATTTCAATCAACTCTCAATTGTTGGATTTTACAGTCCTCTGTTGTGTTGCACAGAGGGCTACAAACACTGCCAACTGTATATAGTATTGTTACACAAGAAAAATAAGTGCCTTTCAATTAAAGCATTTAAATCTTCTCAATCCATTTTCCTGCCACGATGACTTAAAAAGAATAACTACTGCGTTGGCGTTTATAAATGAATATGGGTAAAGTGAATGGAAGTTATTTGAGGTTAAAAAAATAATAGTAATAATAAAGAAGAAACTCATAGAGGTGGAAAGGAAACTAGAGAGCTAATTAACTGAACTGACACATTAATAGTCGTAATACTCACACTAACACTCTCACACACACACACAATACATTGTAGAGGAGAAATGCAGAATTCTTCCGTCTTACCTTCTGACGGGTAGTTTTTCTTCCCCACATAGACAGATATTGTCTTAGATGACTAAAAGAACAGCATCATGAAGGTATCTTTTAATGACTTACTCTGATTTTCACACCTGGAACGTACCTTGGCCTCTTTTGTTAAATTTCATCTCAGCATCCTGATGCTGCTGCTGTGTCTACTGCGGTGACATTTTCACACTCTGAGAAAATTTGTGTCTCAACTCACAGAACAGTTTCTGCATCTGAAGTCATCACATAGACCGCACGCTTCGTCGAGTGGAATAGAAAGAGTTGTGCCATTTTAACTTCTTTGGTCAATATTTCTCACAGAGTCTATTACTTCAGTAATAATGATATTTTTAAAGGGAACCGGCAGTAAGTATGCTTTTGGGTAATGAAAGAAATATTAGCTGGTGTCCACATGAAAAATCATTAGCTCCTGTCTACATTATAATTTGTTTTGCCTCTTTCTCTCTTCCACCCCCCAAACCTGATTTCAAACTGATCAGATATGCATTCGCTGCTACCAGAATATGAATTGGACCAAATGAGAGAGTAATGAGAAACTCAGCAGACTCGTTGAACGTCTGGGGCTTGTTTGTTTATCTGCATATGCATTAGGAGTCAAAGGAAGAAATTCCTATTAGTCTTTCAGTGTATACACATTATCACCTCATTTTTATTTATTTTTTTAAAGGCTCTAACCATGACCACAGCTCAAACTCTCTTTGAAAGTTGTGTCAGTTGTGGTTTCATTGCTATTTTCACTGAGAGGAGAGGTTGCCCAGTAGGCTCAGATCCTGCAGGACAAGAGGCATTTAATTTCTCCTCTCAGAGAAATGGGATGGCAGCCAGCAGGATGCAACTTTGTGCATCGTGTGACCTTGAGTTGTATAGTGTGCAGCTGGCAAACATTTGGAACCTCGTTGCGAGGGCTGTGATTTGAGGATATTTTACATCCGTTCTGAAAAGTGCAGGCACGGGGATTTATTATTTAGATTAATACAAGTAAACCTTATTCTGTAGTGAGACATTTTCTCTTGCCTTGTATCATTGTTAACCTGGACAGACACTGAGGAGATGTGGTTCAGCCCAGATAGAGAGCTTTGGGGAATCTGAGCTGCGTTGTGTGTGTTTGTGTGTGTGTGTGTGTGTGTGTGTGCCTACCCTTGCTCTCAGACATCAGCTGATGAATTTGGTGAATATGAATATCACACAGGATTTGAATGACACATCTTCTTTCTCGCTGTAGAGTCACGGTTGCTCACAAAAAAAGGTTATCAGCACAGAATCCAGTCCCAGCAGGATTCATCCATCAAGCCCAGACAATGTAATTCAGACTGAGAATGCTGCGTGGAGGTTTACAAATCACGCTGAGAGTAGACCTGCTTTGCCCAAATTGCATCAAATACATCCAATATTTGCTCTGTATACAAACAGTGTACAGCTTTATACTAAAGGTAAAGAATAACTTATAGCATTGGCCTTATGAACTCATGAAAAAAGAAAAATCTAGTCCCTTTCAAGTTTTTAAAATATCTATAAGAAGTTAATTTTGCGGAGAAGTAAGCGTGTACCCCGCCTTTCGCCCTATGACAGCTGGGATAGGCTCCAGTGCCCCCCGCGACCCTGAAAAGGATAAGCGGAAGCGAATGGATGGATGGAAGTAAGCGTTGCTTTTTAAACCAGATTGAAAATGCTGACAAATACTCATCATAATTAATTTTACTTTCAATTAAAGCTGGGGGCAAATATTACGTCTCCCATTTTTTTTAGAAGCTGACACAGTACATAAAGAGAGTCAACATGTGAAAAATGAAAACATTTCTACTGATTACAGGCAGCACTTTGCATGCGTGAGCGAACTGATGCTCATTATAAACCACCGAAGGACTGTGCATGCACTATTTGAACTCTGTTTCCTGGACAACCATATTTAATCTTATATTCTTTAGCATTATATGTATTTGAGCCTGTGATAATTACATGCTGGCTGCTTTATTGATGGCAGAATCTGCCTGCTTTTCCACCACTGTGGCCCAGACTACAATATCTTAATAACTGTAGTATAGATTGGCGTAAAATTGAAGATTATTTATTAGAAAATGTGATAATAAATGATGTGAAGAAGATATTCCAGAAAGCCAAAACTTTAACATTTACTAAGTGTTTGTGGGGCTTTAGCAATAGATAGGACAGGATAAACCTATTGTTACCAACATATTGGGTTTTGATAGCCTATTGCCATGATTGGAATTTAGATTGTGTGTTTAACAAACAGTTGAATAGGTGTACCTAATAAAGTGGATGGAGAGAGTAGATGCTGTGGATGTAGATGCCTGTTCTTTTTACTTACTTGTGAAGTAGGTAAAAACAAGAAGTGTAATATCCTGTTGGAACCTAATAAGATTCTGAAAGTTTCACAGATTTGTGGTTTAAAGTTCTCTTCGCTTTGTTTTTATCGTCTCCAGAACCATCCTTTGAGAGTATACATTCATTATGTTGGTCTGTAAAAGTCCTCGGATAATTTCAGAGTCGTGTAAACAAAATTCCACTTATTTAATTTGCTTTTAATATAGTTTTGGTGTCGTCTCTCTGTATGCTGTGTCCTTCAGGGACATTAGGGTTCATCTCTGTCTGGAGGCATCAGAATGGATGGCCGTGATAGGCATCGAGTAATTGCTGATGCTATCCTGTTATCATGGCTGTAACTCGAAACAGACGGTAAGATGGGGCACGGCAGAGTTGTAACTGAGAGGTCGGCTAATGCACTTTTGGCCGCTTGCTCTCTCTCTGCTCAAAGAGCAGATGCAGATCCGCTGATGACCTCTTTAAAAAAATGAAAAAAAGATTTGATTATGTGGTTTTTTTGCTTACTTGCATGCGGCGCAGATGTAGAGACGGTGTGTTTGTGAGCGCAGGTGTTCGTGCCTCTAAATTGAAAGCCTAAGTTGCTTCCTGCCCCCCTACAGTCATTTATCTGCCGACTCTGCGCACAGCCAGCAGACTAAAGGAACATTAGCAAAGAGCAGACATACTCCTGACTGGGCATAATCAAACTCTGTAACACACACAGGCAGATACCCTATTCATCTTCCAGATTCCTTACTACTGGTTTACAATTCCTTACAAAGACTAATCTGCATTGTTCATTTGCCTACACAGAAACAAAGAAGAGCTACACACTGGCAGCAGCAGCTTAAATTTAGACTCTATACATGCACCGTGCACCTCATATGCTTCATAACATACAATATTTAGAAAAGAACCTATAATTTCTCCCCTGCAGACAGCTGAAAGTCATTCAAGGCTGGAGATCCTCATGTTGTTAATTAAAAACTATCACTGGAGAGATGAAATATGAGCTTCTTGTGTTTTTGAATTTATGACCATAAATAAATCTGTTCAAAGATGAGAAGGGGAAACCAGAGATCCATGAAGAGCTATTCCACTAAAGTCAACACTGACTCAAAACTTCACAGTGCTCCTGATTAAATAAACATCAATAAGCTATTATTGGAAGAACAGCACATGAGATGTCAGATTGTAGACGGTTTGAATGATATTGCTCAGCATTTATTATGACTTAAGAGCTGACAAACCATATATTTTGTAGCTTTAGGAAAAAGAACTTCAACCCCCAGAGGGCAGAAATGTTCTTCGGCTTATTGTCTAAGCTTTGTTTAAGCTCTTCTCTCTGTGGTGTTTCATTCAGCTTCTGTTTGTGGCTGTTGCTTTTGGATTTATGTCCTTGTCCTCAATTATTATTATTATTTTTTTGTCTTTTAGGGGGCAAGAGTTCAAAATTCTGCCAAGAACCTGGGAGTGAGGGATCGCACGCCGTCGTCCGTCCCAAGGTAAAGCTACAGGCACCACTCGTTTTACATTTGGCAACATTAGTTAAAGGTCATTAGCTTTTCTTGTTTTTGAGGCCGCTCTTTTTAGGATTTTTCCAAACTTTATGTTATGGATCTTTCTTCGCACTTCTTTTCATGGACGACATAAAAAATGAATTTAACCACAGGATGTCGACCATTAGTTTGAAGCTCTGGGTTTCCTATATTTATTAACCAGACACGACTATATTTGGAGCACAGAGTAGAGCTGATTAGCTACTGCTAACTAACTAGATTGCATGGCAAAGGAGCCTCTGTTATTCATATGTTATCTTTTTTGTAAAAAATGGTGGGAAAAAAAATGCAAATCAAGCGTCAAGCCACTTCCTCATTGGCTTCACATTTTACACCAAAAAATTATGTATGTCTTTTATATACAGTCTATGATTAAATCCAATAATTTAATGAGGAAACTGACACGGAAGCTATGTAAGAAAATGAACTATTTATTTATGCACATAACATTGGCCAAAAAAGGTGCTTTTTGGAGTGCTTTTGGAAGAGAGAATTAAACAGCAAGACCCAGCAAGATGTTGTTCAGCATGAAAAAGGGCCTCCATAATGTCCATCTGAGTAGCTGAGAAGAATTAAGCGGAAGGACATGTACTGTAGTGCTATAGATCTCTGCCTGTGCTTTTTCAACAGGTCTGGAACCAAATGGTCATTTTAGGGATATTAGCAGAAAGATTTCTGTTGCTCAGTAGCTTTAACAGGAGGGCAAAGACTGCTCTAGCCATTTGGCTATGGCATATAGGTTTTGCGTGAGAGGCAGCCCTTTTGAACCTTTTAGTGAAATTGACAAATAAAATTTAGTGGCCGGATGATTAGTGTTGAGACACTGAGACATTGTGGTCATGCAGCAAAATTACTGCACTCCCTGCAGGCTTATGTCATAAGTGTTGCAGCATAAGTAGCTGCCACAACTGTGGGATATGTATGTATCTTCTGAGGGTCTTTACAACAAGGACTCTCATTCCTGCTGATCTGTAGATGGAAGGGTCTCTTACATTTTGCCCCGTAGTTACGTGTTGTTAACGCTCAAGTTGCGAGAAATTCACGTGATGTTGTGGAAAATATTACGAGACCGCGTTTTTACTGTGCAGAAATGATCTTTCAGGAGATGCAGATGTGAAGTGTAAAATATTAATGCATTTGTTATTAAAAAAATAAATAAAAAAGAACCCGGAGAAGAGATGAGCGCAAATGCTTCTCATATTCTCAGTTGGCAAAGAGAGTTTTCTTGATACCACCATTTAGATTGGGAACACAGTGCACACCTACACAATCAACAAGCAACTTTTGTTAGAGGCAAAACAAAGAAGTGCAAACAAGACGGCCAGGTTCCCGTGCTCCGCTATCCCTGACCTCCTTCAGACGTTTTTAAAATGTTGAGACCTGAAGAATAGAGGGGTCCACTCCAACAAATTCATCATATCTCATGCTGCTCGAGTTTGATCTTGGATTACAAGTGACCTATCACGGACAAGAGCAAATCAAACTGTTGCTTCAGCAATGTTTCTGTTCACCAAGGTGGCAGAAGAAACCATGCTTTGACTGGGAGAAGTATGGAAACTATTAGGACACTTTTTACATTTAATAATTTAACAAATGAATACGGATTTAACAGGTCATGGACTTATACATGAGCACTTTATATTATACATTACGATGTATAAAGGGCAGACTTATCAAGTGTAACAAAGATACTGTGCATAGTTTTAGTACGTACAAGTTGTTTGCTTGTTTTTTACTCTCTTTGCATATTTAATATTGTTTTACTTGGTAATACAGAGCTATTACTGCATGCTTTCAATACGCATCCTCATATCCGGTAACTCCAAACAAAGACCTGAAGCCTGAAGAATCATCGCTTTGGTTGAATGTAATTAAGCGTCATGTTGCATATGTGTTTCTCTGATCAGGTTGTACAAGCTGTGCCAGCCTCCACCCCCAGATGGTGATCCATAATGCATCGCACCCAGGAAGAGGTCTTGAGGATCTTTTGAGTCAGCAACGCTTTCCCTCCACCAATAGCTTAATCTAATTAAAGAGAGTTATTGGGTTCATTTTACATGTCCAGAGTAGCTGCCTAAAGTGTAAATAGAATTTCTAAACCTTGGATTGTGTTTTAATACTTTACATTTTTCACTGTTGTATTTGATACATATTGTTGATTTTCTTTTTATTCTGTGATGCATCTGACAAGACAATGTGTCAGAGCGAAGGGAGCGAAATTAGCTTAATGAATGAACAAAATTAATCCCATCAGTTAAGTGTCTGCATGTTATTCTTCTTGTTTTTATGAGGGACATTTGCATTTCATGGTATTAGCTTTATTTGCATATGAAATAAACGATTAGAAGGATACTGGATGTAATTTGGCACAGTATTTGTTCAAATTAGCCAGTAATTTGTCAGCTTCTGTTCAGCTCTGACTTCAGTGCTTTGTCAGTTCCGTGCTGTTTAATCATATGACTGTGTGTGTGTTTCTTGAAAAGATGTTTATTCACTTGTTAATATGCACAGCATTTAGCAAAAAGAAAGGAAAAACAAGGGGGGAAAGTGTTGATAGAGTCATACTGTCTCACTGGGTTCAGATTGTTAGGCATGCACATGAAGATTTTTCAGTGATTTTTATCAGTATTAACATAAAACAGCATAGAGTTAGGAGCTATATTCTGTGTTCCTATATTTTTATATATATATATTGACAATACTCAGGATTAAAACATGCTATCATTGTAGAGTGGATGACTAGCTTGCTACTATGCAAAGGGTGATGTTTCCTACATAGACCGTATGCCTCTGTATGATCAATGTAAAAATGAAGATGATTGGGGGTTTTCTGCATATTCCCTTCAAAATCCTACAAAATAATAATAATAATCCTGCCATGTATACAGTTTGTAAAATGTACATTAAAGCTGATTACAGGGGCCACTTCTGTAGTTGATTTACTCCTGAAAATGACCACTTTTCCACCGGCCCTGTTGGTTGTGGTTGGTGTAGAAGGTACCCGCCTTTCCACAACTCTTTATTTAGGTGTGCATGCAGTTTTACTTATCAGTGTGCAGGTAATGTGGTCTAATTAAAGCTACGAGGAGAGAAGTGCGCTTGTTTCCTTGTGGTAATTAGCGGAATGCGCAGTAACTGTGGTCAGTGCACGGATTTGTTGCCCAATTATCATGCTGAAGCGCGTGCACGCACACACCACAGTCTCGTTAAAGATAGTGCTAGGCAGTGCCCGGTGTATAAGTGGGAGTGGCCGTGGCGCGGTTAAAACTGGCAGCCAGTAAGCGGAAGATTTGTAATCCCTGTCACAGAGCCGCTGTGGCATTGGCTCATGCGGGGAAGCTACAGCCACAGAGTCAGAAAGGCGACAAGCTGGGGAAGGTCCCGGGCTGACTCTCCTCCAGGATGAGCCGGACTCAGAGTCACCCGCTCCGCACTTGACGCAAACCTGCCTGAACTTAACGTGGCTCGGTGCACATTTTCTACATTTCAATTCGCCGAGACGTCTCCTGAAGGACGAATGACAGCGCCTCACCTCATGATTTCATCCCGCTAAAAGCTCAACACAACAGTTTCTCCATGGCGTCTCTTCAACAGTCAAGAATTCAGTCGTATCTGGAGAAGAATAAAATCGGACCCTTGTTTGAGGTGAGTGTACGAATGTGCATCCAACTCCGAAGTTATTGGCAGCCGGTTTAAAGGACCACCACTGCTGTGCACCGGACTGCGTTATTCGCTTTAATTTACAGTTTGTGCCAAATGGCGAGCGCGCGTTTGCGTGAACTGTCACTGGCTTATTACTGCATTATTACTCATGCGGCGTATAGTTTAAATCAGAAGGACTGGTTTCAAATAAAAACATTTATTTTCTTGCACTTCTACAGCCGATGTCTTCCCCCTGCGCTTCCCTTTAAACGACACTGCAAACCCTATAAAGCAATATCGGCTGCTCTGTCTGCCCTCACATCTCCAAGCTTACATCCTTCTGCTGGTGATTTGCATTTAAGAAGACTGGGATGTAGCATCCTCTCTGTGCCTTTTACAGTTTGGTGAAGTTGGGGGAAGCCAGTTGTAATTCAGACTGGACACAGTAGGCTTAGCTTTTACTATACGTTGTGCTACAGAGGACACAGCCAGCCTCGCTTTGTGTTTGTCACTGAAACCGTCTGTGTGTTCTTCATCGGGGGTTATTCTGGGTGAGAGCTACAGTAAGAAACCCAGGGGGTTAGGAAAAGCATGACTTCATCCCTTGTTTGCTCCTGGATTAATTGCTGAAAGCAGGTCTGCACGGGTGTGAGACATAATCAGATTTATTAGAAGTAGCTTTTCTCTGAGGTGCAGAAGTCTGATTTCAAGAATCACTTATCACCATGAGAAGAAGGCAAGGATACAGAGGGATGGCTGTATACGTGAACTGACTCTATACGTGTGCTTCACAAATGTGCTGACGCTTCACTTTTCCCCAGCTGCATGTGTGGAAGAGGCAAACGCACAGAGCTTGAAGTGCATGGATTACAGGAGCTGCTGTGGCTTGTTTCAGCACCGTGGACAGTGAATCAAGCCTAACATGCATTTCACCAGCGTAGAAGAGAGAAAATCTTCCTACCAGGCTCAAAACCGCTCAGTTGAAAGGCCTCTGTAATCTCTGATTGTTTGTCTTTGCTCCCTCCATATTCCTCTTCCACCTGTCCCCCCCTCCCCACCCGTCCCTGCCGCCTGTCTGTGATTTCTTTTTCATTCCTTGCTCTGTGCTCAATTAAATTGTGTTTCCTTCATGTGACGATTGAAGGCGATTAAAGCCAAGGAAGTGCTCGGCGCGCTGATCAAAAATGCATTTGTTGCAAACATCTGTGATGAGACTTTATAGTGAGCCATTCACATCCAGAGTTGTCTCCCAAAGTTATCAAACAGACTTGTTATTCTGAGTTACAGAGACGGGGATCGTTGGCGAGGTGTTCACAGCAAATAGGCTGCGAATGGCGTGTTGTGAGGCTGCATTGTGTCGTGTAGTTTTTCTGGGGAAACTGCCAGGAGGGAGAAAGAGGTGTAGTAAGAGGGGGATATTGAAAACTCTCCTGGCTCTGTCGCTCTCCTCATGAGAAAAATGATGTAGCTGCTACCCTGCTGCTGCGCTTGAAAACCCTTGACCATTTCATTGTTGTCCTAAAGAAAATCCATCCGTGTGCTTTCAGTTGTGAAGAAACAAGTTCTTTTTTCTATTTTATTGGACAAGTCCTGAAGAGAGGTTTGAATTCTCGCTGTAATTTCTTTTCTTTTTTTTTTTCTTTTTTTTGGATCAGATGTAGAACATTGATACAGGTGAAGGAATGATACAGCTGTTCTGTGCTGCTCAGACCAAAAAAGGGGCTCGCTGGAAGCTTGATATCCAAACAATACAACACCTACAGGTAAAATGAATTTATAAATGTACTTGTAATTAAGGTACTACAAGAGCACAGTGTGGACAGTTATGGCAAAGTGAACTACAAAAACAAAATGTAGTGATACTATTACAATATAATGGTCTTGTATTACAGAGATTCATTATAAACAAGAAGCCATCGTGATCACAAACACTTTAAAACTTGCCCTGTTAAATTACAATAATGTGCTGCCAGCCAGAATTGCCTACATCAAAGTGCTGCTTTTATAATATGCATTCTATAATCTGCAGCACTCTTACTGTGAAAGATATTACACTACCACACTATATAATAGAGGTTTTATTCTCTAATACTGCCAGCTGTAAGGTTGCCATTTTACTCTTTCTTTTTTAATCTCCATAAATAGTTTTGTACAAAAATATATTAAAGTGTCATAGAGCTACAGTCATTGGACACTATTATTATTTAAGATGGGTACACTGTAGTTATGAAGGGATGGACATGCTCACTAACCATCCTCATGTAGGCTGTGGTGTTTAAATGATGCTCAATTGGTACAAAGTGTGTCAACAAAATATCCCCTACACCATTACACCGGTCTATGCCTTTGAAACAAGGCAGGATGGCTTCATCCTTTCAAATTGCGACCTCAGTTTGCTATTTTCAGCTGACAGGAGTGTTGCGTGGTGTGGTCTTCTGCTGCTGTAACCCATCTGCCACAAGGTTCAATATGTTGTGCAGTAGATCCAGAGTTTCTGAAGTAGACCACTATGTCTGGCACCAATAAACATGTCACATTCAAATCACTTTTCTTCCCCATTCTGATGCTCAGTTTGAACTTCAGCAGGTCGCCTCAGCCATGTCTACATGATTAAATGCACTTAGTTGGTGACGTGTGATTGGCCAATTAAAGCGTTAATAAGAAGTTTAACAGGTGTGACTAACAAAGTGAGCATTGAGTGTAAAACCACTAACCAGGTTCTCAAGCTACATGTTGCTGCTATGAGGTTAGTTTTTATTGTTTTTGAACTATGCCCATTTGGATGTAACCGCTGTGATATCACCTGTTGGTCTGTGGGACCCTGTTTTGAAGGTGAAGGGGACATTATCAGTATGAGCTGTCAGGCTACATTAGCAAAGCAAGAGGAATTCTATGGGTGCAGTGCACATAAACAGACATCTCCTAATGACATAAAATGCTAGCAGGCTTAGTGATCAAGCAACAGAATGGGACAGTTTGGAGAGAGAATGTACTTTGAAAAGGCACCGACACCACAAACACGACTGAGAGATCTAGTTCTTTGAGTTGATGAGAAGTAGCAAAAACTTGTAGCGGGCTTTAAAGTGGTTTCTTTCCTCGGTGAGGTTTAACGTGGCTGACTTGCTTGTGGAACCAGCCTCAAAGGGCCACTAAAGGAACTGCAGTCTTCTGCACTCGGGCCCTTGATTATGACAAGATAGCAAGCTTAAAAACATGGTATTCATTTCACTGCACTGTCACAGGAACACTGATGAATACTTGAATACTAGCCACAGGTAATTAATCTCTGTTGTGGTGGCTCGTTGCTAGCTAAACTTCAACACTGTTCTCAGATACACAAACAGTGGAAAGTGGATCACACATCCACACAAAAAAAGTCCAAACGCAGCATAACCGTCACAACACCACTAAATTAATGATGATTGAACTTAAACACTTGTATTCCCAGGAGTCTTTTAGCTCATTAGTGCAGAAATTCTGTGTAGCGGTAGTACTCTGTAGAGACTTTCTTTAGCGAACGATCTAATTCGTACAGAAAATATAAATGGATTGTCTCCTTCAGCTTTTACATAACTCTTCATAGTAAAGGCCGCCCTTTGTTTGCTGAAGGATCTGCCAAAATATATTTATTGAAGAGCCTTTCCGAACGCAAGTGTACAAGTTTGTTATGGAAATAAAAGACGTCCTTTGTCTCCATTAAGAGTCCTCTTACAATATTGGCTATGTATGTTTAAGTCCTCCCTCCCTCCTTGAACTCTCCGATCTGTACCAATCTACCCTTGGCTTTCATGTTGCATAAAAATCCAACTTCAGCTTAATTTTTTTCCTCCTAAGGCAAAGCGCCATCACTCCTTCCTCATACCCAGCTGCAGTCTTAAACAGTGTGAGTAGAAGCGAGGGTTCATTTACTCGCCCTGATGAGACACAGCTTATGATTTGCCAGAGAATCGATCTCCCACCCCACCCCACTAATGAAATGGTTGCTTTGCAGAGATAGCAAGCTGAGTCAACACAGACATAATATTCTTCCAAAACAGTGAAGCAGCCTCTCATAATAACTGAAGTAATTGCTCTCTAACGTATTGTAAAGTGTTTTGGTAAATTGATATTCTTTTCAAACACCTGCCCTTTTCCAATGCTTTAGCAGTTTCACTGCAATGTGACAAATCCCAGTCAGTGTTAGGCATTAAAGCAAGCTGAAGGTCACATGCTCAGGTTTCGTTGTTATACTCGGTATGATACTCCATTGTAAATGCCACTTTTTAAAACTATAAAAGCCCCCCTTTCCTGACATTTGTCAACACACAGGGCTCATTAATTGAATGAAATAATGGGTCTAATTCTTTAATCTTTGCTTTATCGGAGGAGGATCTGCAGAATCTACCTGCAAGCTTCTGACATTTAAACTCGTGTAACACAGTTGGTGTAAAATGGTGCATTCTTTGCCTTTATCAGCAGACGGTGTAAAAAACCCGCTCTCATATTCCTCCCCGCTGTGATCTGTCAATCATGTCTTAGCCGATATAATGGTTCTGTTGGAACTGTGAACTGATGGATCATGTAAATGTTGCCTGGATCAAAAAAATGTCACAGCATTGAACTGGAAACTGGTGTAACAGTCAGATGTTGAAATACAGCCCTGCTCTGTGAAGCAATTGGGGTCTGACTTTTTCTCCTTTGTGACTTTAATAAGCTTGAATACAGGTTTGACATGAATTGAGTATTTGTTATAGTTTAGAGGCTGCTGTGATTGCTCGGCGATATTAATGAAGTTCACTTATGATGTAGACTGTATTTAAAGTGATTTACATACATATTTAATTAAATTGAACAGGTCTGGATTGTTCACAACAGTGTTTAGAAACTTGCGAATGAAAAATACTGTTGCTTCTAAAATATCGGCGCAACATGAATGCATATAATTTCTTTGAAGTTTGTGTATGTATTGCTTTCATCATTCATATGCCTTAAAAAAAAAAGAAGATCAGGTTCAATTAGTTCTACACAGTGAGAATGACAGATTTGAAATCGACGACTGGGGAAAAAAGAACACCTGTATTGAATTTGCACTTTCTTTGAGCCAATGCTTTGGGTCGAGGTGTAGGAATTTAAACGAGTAGGCTGCTCAGTTTCTACTTATTGGTGTTTCTGCTTCGAGTGAAGTTAAATTACTTTGCTTCTCCCTCAAGATTTCTCTGAGTGAACTGTTTATCCGTTCACGTAGAAAAGCTCCACTCCAACTTGCTCAGCTGTGTAGTTCTTCTAATGTGCTGCGTCCAGGGTTTAAGAAGTCCAGCCCTGCAGTGCTGTTAAGAGGTCAGGTAGGGCTGGGAAACACACGTATATGCACAGACACACACACCACCTGACCTATTGATCCACTTCCTTTGGAGATAATTTACTGGACTCTGTGTGATTGAGTGTTTTGCAGCTTATTTTCACCAACATTATTACCAACATCCCTCATATTTCTGTCTCAGTGAAACTTTAATATTTCTTGTTGGCCATAAACATACACCTAAACTTAATAAATATGTGTTCACTGTGTCAGACCTGCATTTACTGTGATTTCTTCCCATTTCAAGATTATCTACACTGTATAGGAAAACCAAATGGCAGAACTCAGGTAGATAATTACTGTTATAACATGTTAAATGTTCTGCTTAATTGCAGGTAAATTAAAGTGCTGGACACTTTAGAGCATATTATTTATGTTATTGTCCAAAATTGAGTCACTACAAACCTGGAGTCCTGCCACGCCCACTTTAGACACTGAAACAATGAAACCGTGCATATTCACACAATACAAACAAATACTCTGAAATAAGACTTAATAAAATGCTTAATAGTTAAAGACCTAAAATATTGAATTGATTCATGTTAATTGAGAGCCATCAGTCAAAAAGTAAAAAAGTCACATAAAATTTGATAAATTACAATATTAATTTACATTGCTTGAGCTTAATTACTTTGAGCATTTGACTTTACAATGGAACTAGGACTGTGAGATGTAACCCAAACCTCTTTATCCTCAAAGTCGATGTGTTAAAAGCAAAAAAAAAAAAAAAAATAGGCAAGCATAAAGATTTGTTTGACAAGGGCCAAATTGCAATGACTAGATGAATGGATCAGGGTATCTTCAAAACTGCAGCTCTTGTGGGGTGTTCCTGGTCTCCGGTGGTCGGTATCTTAAACTGGTCCAAGGACGGAGCAGTGATGGATGGCCAAGACTCGTTGATGCATGTGGGGACCAAAGGCTAAGGCTGAGTGAGTTCAATGCAACAGATGAACTACTTTAGCTCAAATTGGTTAGAAAGGTGTCAGAAAACACAGTGCATCACAGTTTAATGCATGTGGGACTACTTGGTATTTGAGTTGACGTAAGTCATAATTTGCAAAGTACAGTTTTCTGGTCCATGTCATACTTTTCATAACCAAACAGCATCCGTCCTACAGAGGTAGAACCTTTGTCTCACCTTCACTCTCTATGCTGATATCCACGTTTCTGCCTGCATCCATTTCTTGTAAGACTGCAGAGCTGTCATTCAAATGATTAGAAAATGCCATTAACAGTATATTTTGTAAAATCATTAAATTAACTATAAATTAGAACACAGAAGAACATTGGTCTTATTTTTTAGGAATGTGTATCATAGGTCAGTCAGATCAGGATTTAATATAATTGATATTCTTTGAACTTGGATTGCTGTCTGATTTCTTTTCTTTCAACTTATTTTTTCCCTTTCAACAGGAAATAAGGTCA